CGTTTCTTCCTCCCTCCCTTTCCTTCCTTCCCTCCCTCCCTCCTTCCCTCCCTCCGTTTCTCCCTCCCTCCCTTTCCTTCCTTCCCTCTCTCCCTCCCTCCCTCCTTCCTTCTTCCCTCTCCCACACCTGGAGCGATTCCCATAAAACTAGTTTCCCCCCCCCATCATTTCGGATTCCTCCCTTCTGCTGTGACGTGTGCCAGTCCTTGCTCACCGAAGACGGGCTTTCTGGCTTCTATTCCTGTCGCAGGCCTGGCACCTCCTCCGGTTACTTATTAGATCGATAAAGGCAGGATGGAAGGACCAGCACAGGAGGGCAGGTGAAAGGAGGAATAAAAATAACGTGTCCTTTAAAGGAGAGGCTCGGAATCGTACCGCAATCTGCCTGACTGCAAACTTTCTTGTGCCAAGCAGAACAATTGTCTGGCATCGGTTCTTTTGCTGTTCTCGCGTTGCTTGGCGAAAGAGAATTGGTTTTGGACATGTCTTGCAAAGGGGCAAGGATTTTTGCAAGGAAGGGAGGGAGGGAGGAGATAAAAGAAGAGGGAAGGAGGAAAGGAAAAGAAAGGAAAGAAGGAGGGAAGGAGGGAGGGTGGGAGGAAGGAAGGAAAAAAGAATGGGGAGAGAGGGCTGGGGGGCCGAAGGAAAGGAGGGAGGAGATAAAAGAGCGAAGGAGGGAGGGTTGAAGAAAGAAAGGAAAGAGGGAGGGAGAGAGGAAGGGATAAAAGAAGAGAGAAGGAGCGAGGGTTGAAGAAAGAAAGGAAAAGAAAGGAAAGGGAGAAAGGAAGGAAGGAAAGAAAACTAAAGCAATGAAGTCAAAAGAAAAGATTGTAAACAAAAGAACAATCATTCACTTTGGAGAATTTCATCAAAATGATTGTTGTTGGTTTTTTGGGGGGGGGGGAACCCACACCAAAAGCAATTTCTTTTCAAATAAAAGAGGGTTTTGCTTGCTTGCTTGTTTGTTTGTTTCAAGGAAAAGACGCCAAGGAAATGCAACACACCTGAAAACCCCAAGACCCTTTTTTCCTGTTCTGAACCAAGCGCGTCTTTTTTCGGGAGACGTGTCCTGACGGCTTCGCTTGTCGGGTACCCGAAAGGCGTCAGCGATGGACGGATTAAAAACAGGGGGAGGGAGGGAAAAGAAACGAAAAGAAAGCGCAGCTCCGATTACCTGCCTGTGACTTCAATATTGGAGATCGCGTAGAAGTACTTGTACAAATTCTCTCTTTGGACGTAGGTGCCCCCGAGCGCCGGTTTCAAAAGCCGCATCCTCAAGTCCGTCACGGTGAAGAAATCCTTCAGGCCCTTGGCGCTCTCCAGCCTGGTGTAAAGATTGTCCATGTTTCGGAGCTCGGGCCCAGCAAAAATGGCAAAACGGTCCTTCACCTCGAACCTCACGTCCTTCTCTTTCTTGGACCCCACCCAGCGAGAGTATTCCTCCGTGCAGATGACCCGGTTGACGTTGGTGGTGGACAGCTCCCTCACCTTCCTCGCCGGCATGCCGAAAGCTTCGTTGCACTCATCCGCGTAGTACTGGTAGGGGTGCCAAGTCCTCCCATTGTCCAAGGACTTCTCCAAGATCATTTTGGTGGGGCGGCCGTACTCAAAAGTCAACACGACATCGTCGGTCAGCTCAATGGTCTTGTTCCAAGACAAGGTGATGTTGGCCAACAGAGGCTTGGGGTAACGGCTCCAGGTCACGCTCTGCCAGTAGGTGGCCAGGCCTTCGTCTTCTTTGTCGAACATCAACTTGGGAGGGTGAGCCAAGTCCGGATTGGAAGCGTCGCACTCGTCGCTGCACAAATACGGGTTTTCCTAGAGGAAGAAGGAGCATGAGAAGAAAAGAGAAGGAGATGAGAACCTGGAACAAAAGGGGTTAGGAGAAGTCTGTCTTTGGGTCTGTCTGTCTTTGATGAGCTTCCATCCCTGACTTGTCCTGCCCTCAGGTGCTTTGGAGAATAAGTTGACCCCCTCTTCTCTGTGGCCGCCCCCCAAAGAATTAGAAGACTTCTATCATGTCTCCCCTAGTTCTTCTCTTTCTTAGAACAGACCTATCTGGTCCCTTAAACATTCATTTATCCTCCGGTCCCTTAATCCTCTTCGTTGCTCTTTCCTCTCCATGCTTCCTACAATATCTCTTTTTATATCGTGGGGGTGACCAAAACTGGACACCGTATATTCCAAATGCAGCTTCACTACTGCAGAAGAATTCTTGAAGAGCCAAAACGGAGAGATGTCAATTCGGTGGAAGAATTTTGATATTCTAGGCCGGTCTACCTTGGAGGGCTGACCTTGGGGCAAATCCGTTTGGCTTCTACCTTCTCTTGCAAACTTCTCTTCAAAGGAATTGCTTTCATCGGCCATCCCCGGATTGGTCTGCTTAGAAAGGGCGAAAATTTACCTTTTTTATTTTCAACATCGTGCGTGAAAGGGGAAGGGGGCTCACCAGCTCTGACTGCCCCCCCTCTTTACATATATTTTAAGTGAAATTGTTATTAATAGCTAAGCCGTTGAGTATTTTTATTTTTTAAAAAAAGCAGACATCTGTTCGGAATGCAAAATCTCGGAGGCCGCCGTCTATAGAAAAAGAAACAAACCCCAATCATGAACTTATTGTCCTTGACTTAACCCACAAGCAGCTGAAAGCACTTTTTTGTGTGTTTTTTGAGAAAAGCAACAATAACCGAACAACAGATACGCATCCGTGCGCCACAACCCTTGCAGTGACTCAGCTGTTGCTTTTTAAAATGCCTCTTCCTCTCCAGAAACTGCCTTATTTCAAAGCTGGATTATAACACAACGTAAATAAATATTCAATGTGGCTTTGCGGGTTACACTCAGGGCACAATAAACAAAATAAATATGCCACATTATCGCTTAATGCGCCAGCCCGGTTCACACAACCTCGTAAGACACAATGCTGTGTTCCTCGCATGCTAAAAAAAAAAAAACCAACTACCCAAATTTATTTTAACTGAGTTTAGCATTTTGTGTGCGACCACCAGCCTCTGTTGTTCGGTTTAACAGGGCCAGTTCCGTATTTGAAGTACACTGATGTCTTTCTTCTTTTAGCCAGACATTTTGGGGGAAATTTTTATCAAATCGTATCTGGCAGAGGGGAGGGAAGGACATTACAAATTCCTATAATTTAGCGACCCTTCGAAGTTACAACGGCACTAAGAAAAGTGGCTTACGGCCATTTTTCACACTTAGAACCATCGCAGAAACTGACAGTACATGATCAAAACTCAGATGCTTGGCCACTGGCTCGTAGTTACGTCCCGGGGGGTCCCCTTCTGTGACCGTCCGATGAGCAAATCGGGAAAAACCTGATTTGCGGTGGGCGGCCGTGCAACAAACTCAACCACTGCAGGGGTTTGCTTTCTCGCCCGTGGACGAGAAAGGGGGTGAAAACAGGGCCAAACAACCCATTGAACCACTGTCTCACTTAACGACAGACTTGAGGGGGGGGGCTCCATCATGGTCGAATTGGGGGGGGTCCTTGTCGGAAACACACGCTTAGTAAAAACAAAAAAATCACACGGTGTTTGGGAGAGGTCAATTCCCATTTTAACCATTTGGGTTGAGTTTTCACCCCATGTGCTAACGTACAGTTTGGAAGTGGCTGTGCCTCTCTCTCTGTCCATCCTGTTTAATGACTGTTTGAGGCTACAATGGTGCAGAAAAGTGTCTTACGACCATTGTTCACACCTACCCCCGTTGCAGCCGTTCATGTGATCAAGCAGTCAATGAATGGATTCCCCCCATGGATTCCCACCAAGTTAGCAGCTTTTGCCTCGAGTCAAATTGTTGGCTCAGGTAACAGAATAACAGTGTGGAAAGGGACCTTGGAGGTCTTCTAGACCAGCCCCCTCTATCCTCCCGGACAAGCGGCTGTCCAGTCTCTTCTTTACAAACCTCCACTCTTGGAGGCAGACTGGGTCCACTGGTTAATTCTTCATATTCTTAGGAAATTTCTTCTTAATTCTAGATCAGATTTCTTTCCGATAAGTTTCCTTCTTTTCCTGCCACGGGGTGCTTTGGAGAATAGGTTTAAATTGTGTGTGTGTGTGTGTGTGTGTGTGTGTGTGTGTGTGTGTGTGTAGCCTGGAATTAAAGGATCCCCCCCCCCAACACACACACACACCTACCACGGAGTCAAACCTGCATAGAAACAAGCTGGGACCCTCCCAGCACCCCATATATAACATTTGAAGATAATTAAACGTCTCCCTCCCAAGGCATAAATTGATAACCCACCAAAGATTAGGCAGGAATTCCTAGTGATATTTGCTGACAATTAATTTCCATTCCATTCACAGGCTTTGAGGAAGGCCTTAATTAATTTAGAGTGATTACCACTAATAGCTGGTAAGTGGGAAAACACGGAGCACAGAGACTATCAAATAGCAAGGAAAAACAAAAAAACAGAAAAAGAAGAAGCAGAAATTGGATAAATGAATGCATTGCCAACATTGCCGGCATTAAAAAAAAGGGGGAGACGTTTTTGGGGTGGGCTGGTAATAAAACGGGGTTCTTTTCCTCTTCCTGTCCCCCCTCCCTTATTCTTATTCATGGCACAGTCAGCCAGATGTTCAGACTGGGTTTGGCATTTTTGTCTACCGATCGAGTCCTGACCAAGGACCCGGGATAGGCAAATCTGGATGTTTGAGGGTGTTAACAGAGATCGCCGCAGGATGGAAGCTGTTCCAAGCCAAGCTGCCTTCTGCAATTGACCGATGGCAAATGTGTCAATGCCGACAATGTTCAAGAGCTGGCTCCAGTTGTTTTGGGACTGCTCCCAAGGCGCCTAGGACTATGGGTACTACCCTTGCTTGCCTTTGCCACAGTCGCTCCATTTCTATTTGTAGCTCTTTGTGTTTTGTGATCTTCTCCAGTTCTTCCTCTTCTCTTCTGCCTTCTCCGGTGTCCTTCGCCCGATGGGACCCGTCTCTCTTCGGTTGGCACGGCCGAGGGTTAAAATTAAGCCACCGGCACAGCCCTATTCTAAGGCGGTTTTGAATGTCTGAATTTCTCCTTCTCCTTCGTCGTACCTTCTTGGGCCGGCGGCCATCGATCGAGCTGCTTCTTTCCCAGACCTCAGGGCTGGTTTCGAATTCCCTTCTCGATGGCTTCCCAACGGAAGAGGCCCCTGCTGGGCTCCCAAAGTCAACTCCCCAGCAGCAAGTGAGACGGGGTGGCTTGGCTTGCCGTGAATCAGGAAGAAAAGAAGAGGCTGTCGTCGGAGCCGGAAAAGTTTGGTCCAAGGCACCACACACACACACACACACACACACACCTCTTTGGCTGCCCTCCTTCTCCTACGTCTCCCTCCCAGTTAATTTTGGCTTTTCTCAGCATCACTTGAGCTCCTCACCCCTGGGTGGGGGACCTCCCTCCCTTGGCAGAGTGTGTGGGAAGGAGGGAGGGAGGGAGGGAGAGAGAGAGAGAGAGAGAGAGAGAGAGAGAGACCGTTATTGCTGTTATCTGTGGATATGCAAGATGATGGTCAGCGTTCCCCTTACGTTTTGAGCAGTGGATTCCGTTCGCACTTTGAACTTTGCGTGGATGGTTGCATGGGAGGAGGAAGGAAAGAAGGAGATGGGAGATGGGAGGAGGGAGAAAGGAAGGAAATAGGAGGAGGAAAGATCAGAGGAGGAAGGAA